TGGAAACTATTACTACCGTACTGAGTAGCGCTGTCCATGACGCACACTTCACCACACCCAATCCCTACTATCACGAGGAAGCCATCATTTCTGCACCGGCGCCACCACAGGAGGCGTTGAGTACGAGTTCTTCGACCTCAGGTATGCTTGGTATATACCATATAACACTAAGGTGCATGCTCTTACTATATACCATATAACACCAAGGTGTATGCTGTATCCGAATAGATTCGTGGCATTCTTTGCTTGTATTTGTGTTGCAGCATGTTGATAGGCATGATGGTGGATAGCTCACTATCTCTGAAGGAGCCGGGTTGCGCTGAAGCCCTGGTCGTCAGGAGGCGTGTGTTATGCGCCATGTATGTATGTATGTATGTATGTATATGTATGTATATGTATGTATGTATGTATGATAGTATATGTATGTATGAATGCATGTATGTATATATGAATGCATGTATGTATATATGAATGCATGTATGTATATGTATGTATGTATATGTATGTATGTATGTATGTATGTATGTATGTATATGTATGTATGCATGTATGTATGTATGTATGTATGTATGTATGCATGTATGTATGTATGTATGTTGTATATGTAAGTATGTATGTATGGTGAGTTTTTGCTGGCCACATCGTAGTTGTAGTACCATACTTCACCCATAGTCTCAGTTGATAGGGAGGATACAACCTGGGATGTGAATCCAACATCGTACGAACTTTGAGCTCATGATCTGATGAATACACTCATGCATGCTTCTATAACCTTCAGATGTGGATATACAAGTGGAGAGTATCGTAGATGAGGTGGTGGCGGATGTACAGCGACAGCTCATTGAATCAGAAGACGACACGGACTCGGATACCGAAGTGCACAAAACCACCACAACACGCTCCACGTCGTGCAGCTCTGTCACAAGGTGGGTAGATAGATGGACTTACATACCTTACAGTAAGGTGAATAGATAGATGAACTTACATACCTCACAGTTAGGTGAATAGATAGATGGGCTTGATATCTTAAAGCTATGTCACAAGATGAATAGATAGATGGACTTACATACCTTACAGTAAGGTTAATGGATAGATGAACTTACATACCTCACAGTAAGGTGAATAGATATATGGGCTTAGATGTCTTACACCTATGTCACAAGGTGAATAAATAGATGGACTTACATATTTTACAGCTCGGTCACAAGGTGAATAGATAGATAAACTTCGTGAATGTTGTGTTATGTAAATTTAGATTGGTACCCCCTGTTTTTGACTGCTATGTTAAATATTATGACGTAAATAGACCCTCGCACGCGTCCATTGCTCTGTGTACTGTAGTGTAGTGTAGTGTAGTGTAGTAGTTCATTCTGTGTAGTGTAGTGTAGTGTAGTAGTTCATTCTGTGTAGTGTAGTGTAGTGTAGTAGTTCATTCTGTGTAGTGTAGTGTAGTGTAGTAGTTCTTTCTGTGTAGTAGTGTAATGTAGTAGTTCATTCTGTGTAGTGTAGTCGTTCATTCTGTGTACTGTAGTGTAGTGTAGTGTAGTCGTTCATTCGGTGTACTGTAGGTTGTAACATATAGCCTACTTTTTATTGGCCAGGGGAATGGTCCGGTTTATTTTAGGTTGGTTTGGTTTGGGTTGGGTTGGTTTGGTTTGGTTCGTTTTGGTTTGTTTTGTTGGGTTTTTTGGCCTCTCACCCGTGTTCGTTCGCTGCTATCTGTAGCTCGGGCGACCTCGCGACACGCTTCCCTAGTGATGCCGAGTCGATGACCTTGTCCCGGTCCAGTTATGGCCTGCCCTTAGGTGCAAGCGGGTCCTCCTGCCAGGATTCGGGTGCGACTATACCCCCGAATTGGCCAAAAATGGGTGCAATAAACGACACCACCCCACCACAGCCAGCCGCGTCCGTAGTTCGAGAAGACACATCTACAGTTGACTGTAACTCTAATAATGGGGCCGGCGCTCAGACGGCGGCCTGGGCGCAAGTGCGGGCTGCTGCACGCGCTCAAGACTTGGCCGAACTTCGGCGTCGTAGCGAGACACAGGTGGATAGTAATCAACCTGACGACTGTGTTGCGGTTACGATGCAGGAGAGGTACCGCCGCGAGGCGGCGGCGCAGGAGATGGCGAACCGACAGTTCGATAATGATATGATCAGGTGGGTGCTAGGGGGAGGTAGTGGTCATGTCAGTTGGGTAGGTTGGGGATGTCTGCACTAAC